GACAGCAGCAAATTGCTCAAAGCTCACTGTTCGTCGTCGAGAACATGAAACAGTAGGAGCACTCGGGCACTCATGTAATTGCATGGACCTGGAAAACTAAACACGTTCGAAGGAGCAAGGCTGATGGCAAATCTACTCCAAAATGCGGAATCCATTCTCAAGGCATACCGAATTGCCTCGAGATGGATTGAGAATCTCTGCCTTTTGCGTAGCAGAGCAAGCTCAGCTTATTTGCTCAAATAGAAGAGGAATACTGTTTTTGTATTTCCTTTGGAAACACACCACAGGCTCTTGCCAGTTCGAGATTTTTCACGGTATGCACGAGGCAGCGTGGCGTGCCAGCTGCAGGAGACAGTGGAAACATTTATTTTGTTCGGCAACTTGGGAAACCTGTAATTCTCGATATTCCGTATGGAGCCGAGCACGCCCAGTTCATCGGTTGAAAACACAATGGTATACAGGGATAAGTAATTTTCAAATCTGGAGCGCTGACAGCATCCATGTGTCCCACAGCAAATATGCGCAAATGCTTCCTCTGTCCCATATTGTTTGTCTTCTATTTGAAATTTAAAGTGAGTAGGTTTTAGATCTAAAACCCACTCACTTTGCATTCTAAATAGAAGCTTCTAGAAGCTAACAGAGTGGAATGGCAAGATGTGATAAATTCACCTTTGTTGAATCCGGACACTGGGCCGGATTTATGGGAGATGACTGAGACGGATACTCCTTTTTCCGCGGAAGCTCGTATCATATCGATATATATGCCGTCGAGGCATTTACCTTACTGCGGTAAAACGGCGGCGCTGAGCAGCAACAGCTTTTTGCATTACCGGTTCGATCCCTTAGAGCTCTTTCTCGCCTTCCGCTTCCAGAGCAATGCTGCTGTGCAATCTTGAGTCGACGGCAGTTAATATGGCATTGCAGACTGTGTTTATTGTGAAATTTGCCACGCTCCATACCCTGCTCTCTGCAGAACTGGTGAAAGGAACAAGTTGAATGGATTGCATACAGGTGTGTGCATAGTGCGCGTAAATATTTAGTCATGTTTGCGTTCACCTAAACGACGCACTAGTACTTACATCTGCCAGTGCTCTCACTACGATCAGAGATAATTCTCCTGGGTAATATCTTCTCAATAAAATATCGGCAAAATTCATATTACAGAAGCCAAGACTCAGTCAACGTTGTGACTAGGGTGAGATCCGTTTCACATTTTCTTGTGCCCTGCTTGCGATGGCCATGTTCGATTACATGCTTAAACTAATATCGTTTGGGAATGTGAAATGTTACTTTGAGGATATCATGGACACAAACTGCTGGGTATCAGCGATCCCAGAGGCCTTTAATTTGAAAATACTGGCATGCAGTGCGGTAATGCATTAGGTAGCAGTGGGAAATCTAATGCTCTTTTCAATAACAAGACATTGTATTTGCAAAAACGGTCTTCTGGTTCGCATATGCCGCTGAGTGATGGCGTCTCGATATCAAGCAATGTGAGAGAATGTAGGGTCGGCATAGCGGCTTGCACGGGGTCCATTGATTAGTTGGGATGGCAATATTCCCTCCGTTAGGCATTGGCTGAGAGGCGACTTGCATAAGAGGTAGTTGGCAGGCAGATACCATTGACGGTCGCAGCTGCTGCGGCACTGCAGCCGAAGGTGGTAGTGGTCAGGCGGACGCCGTTGGTGGACATTTCCAGCGAGGGGGTAGCTGGGGGGCAGATGCCCTGGACAGACACGGAATTCCTAGCGTTTGACAGAATTAGAAGAATCTTTGATGCCCACGCGAGTAATCGGAGGGGCACAAGGAAATCTTGATGCAGTTGGAAGTGTCTGCGCCACGGCCTGCATGAGAATCTGTAGTTCTGGGATGGCTGGCGCGTGGCTCTGTGCAAACGCGCACGAAAATGAGTTGAGAATAGTCACATCCGGCAGGTGCAAACGGCAGAACGTGTGCCCTAGTTGCGGGCGCCGTGGTGGGTGCCTGTGTGTTTGGTGGGAGGAACGTACGGGAACCCCGCGTGTAGCCGCCGTCCGCCACCTGGTGGGAGCTCAGGGAGAACATCTCAACTTCCGCGTCGCGGAGCGGAGGCTCCAGAGGGCATGCCCTTTCCTGCATAAGGGAGGGATAGCGGGATGGAGAGCAACCAGTGGTCCTGTGCTGGGCGACAAGGATGGACACCGGGTGCGCTCAGCCAACCAGCGACGGATTCAAGCCCTGGGCCAAGAGGCGGTCTCGAGGGCAGGAGCGGAGCGTCGTGTCCGGAGGTGTGCCCTCTCGCTTCGCCATCGAGCGGTCGCCATACCCCTCTGCTTCTTTTCTGCGCTCTTGTCAAACGCTTGACTTCGTTCGCGCAGTGAGCTTTCGCAAAGCTCGGGCAAGAGCTTAGCTCTTCAGAGCTTGATGCCTTGAGTGCCTCCAGGTACTGGTCGATTCCAGCCCACCCATCCCCCCCCCACCACCGTCTCCCCGCCCCACTAAGGGCTAGGTGCAGTCTTGCGGAACACAACGATCCTCATGCACCCGTGGACCGCTTTTTCCGCAGGTCACTGTGGCAATGGAGGCAGCAGCTACCGGTCCAGGCCACCGGTCAACGGCCGTTGGGGCGGCACCCGGGAGCCGCGGGTGAGGCGCATTGCTGTGGAATGTAACTCCCGCGCATGTGTGCGTTGGGGCTAGAGCTGGCAGGAATGGGGGCCCGCGGTTGGGTAGCTGCAGGAGGATGGCTTGGCAAGAGGATGCTGTGCTGCGCCGCTTCGCAAGAACGCCGCGCACTTCTGGGCAATGCCCACGGGAAAGGGCTTTCCCAAACGGCGCGCCTCCTGGCGGGGCAAACGCGAGACGGACGGCGCTTGGGCGCCTCGCCGCGCGTGCGCAGCGTCTGTGCATTTTGGCGCGAGTGGCAGTTGGTGGTGGTCCACCTCGCTGCTGCCTGTTTCTGGCGGCGGACTAATCGTTTCCCGCCCGTCAGTCTACCGCTTCAGTGCTGCACCTAGAAGGAAGCTGACACTAGCATGACATGTGCAATTAGCTTCTCAGCAGCTCCTTCTAAATTTCTCACTCTTTGTACGTTCCGGCAAGATCTTGTGAAGATTGTCCGGATCTGGGCAATTGTTGAGAGCAAGTAACGACCTGTGTCTGCATGAGTGCAACAGTTCAGGCAGCAATCGCAAAGCAATCCCAAACCCTGCCACGATGGCTGCGTTTTTTGGTTCGATTAATTATGTATATCGTTTTGATGAGTGTAACGTGCTGCCAAATGATGCTATAATTGGAGGCGCTGACTTCAGGGGTTTGATCCTTGGTTTCCCTCTACATACGCCAGTACAGCATGGGCCAGGTATGGTCACGCCCAAATTAGCATGCGTGGGCATCATGTGCATTATCCAAAATCACGAGATTTATTGCTCTCAATTCAATTAAAAATCAACGGTCTGCAGCCATATCTGTGATATTTACCTCGCCGTCTGAAGTACAAATTCTGTCTCGAAGTTTGGTCCTTGACCATGGCAGCGGCACTCTGCGGTTACACGATGCAGCTCTCTCAGCGAAAATCTACCTCAAGCTCTTCGTGTGGATCAGAAACAAAGGCATGAATGCCCTTTAATGGGGGTGTCACAATCATTCGGGATAGTTGCACTTGTTCACAGCCTAGCCAGACGCCACAATTAGAACACCCCAACTGACAACATTTAGCAGGCCACCCCCTTAGCCTCGGACTTTGTACACAGCCGAAGTGGATTCCACATATCTGCGTGTTGCAAGGTATTTTTGCAGAAAATTTTGAGATGCCATTCAGTGCTTTTAGTCACTCCAATTGCGGCGGGCGCTTGTGCGCAGGCACCCAAATTGGCGTTGAAGACTTGCCGGCGCTTGTCGGGATTCTGCGCGGGGGGGGCTTACAGGACCGCCCTGGTTCTGTTTGCGGTGTCGGTGCTGCTTCCAGGTGGGAGGGCCAATCTCACTTCCATCCCGCAGGAGCTGTCAGGTGAGACGTAAAACGGCGCATTTTCAGGGTATCTGCGGAGAATGTACATCTTGCATCTGAGAGATTCAAGCAACTGTGCGCGGAAGAAATGACAGGTCCTCCTCTTAATGTGCTATCATTCTTTGGCAGGCTGTTCTTTAGGCGAGGGGGTGAATGCCGGGAGCGAGTGCCTGGTGAGTGCTTGCTTTGTTGATGGAAGTTCTGACGGAAAATATCTGAAAATGTGCAAACATGCAACCTCGTCATTTAGAAAATCGAGCAGTAGTTTATTGGATATTTTTGCAGGCGTGTGGTGAGGCTCACGCGAGGTTTCTTAATTCAGAAGTGCTTTTAAGGTGAACATCTTGAAAAAATGTGGACAGGATCGAAGCGAACATATTTACCCAATATCATGCCTTCATTACGTTTCCGTGAGCTGATGGGGTCTCTTGCACTGAAAATGCCCTACACTCTGAACATTACCTGCCACATTTCAACGCCGCCATAGTGACAATAAAGCAATGTGCGTAATGCGCGTAACCGTTACATGGTACCCACATGTAGCCCATGGCTATATTGGGACGTGTCAAGGACAAGGCTCCACATCCTGGAAGCACAGCTCGTTTTCTAAGCGACTTGCAAACAACGTGGGCGGCAACTGACGGGCACGGGATACAACCTTTAGCTTGGCCTCGTCAAATAATGGCGTCGGCCATGTGCTGGGAAGCTGTTCTGTCAACGTGCCGAATCTTTGAGTCTGTGCCATACCATCATCTATAGTAGTACAACAATCAGCCCTGGTGAGCTCTGCCAAGAGACACTAGCGAGAAAAGGACCAAATAACACTTTTGTGAACGCACATAAACACATTTCATCAAAGTTCTGCACGCTGAGAACTCAAAGATACCCAAACCCGTGAATTTTGCACGTTTCAACACGTGTTATTTGGCTCTTTTTCCATAGTGAGAGGAATGCGCACACGAACGCAACTGAGATGCTAATGTGAGCCAGTAAATTTGGTGCATGTCTGCAGGATTGGAAGACCCACCCCTTCGAGCGGTTTCCTTACATGGCGACCATAAGCAATTGGGGTGTGGACCTGCCCCATTGCAGCGGCATTCTGGTCCATCCTCGCTACGTGCTCACCGTGGCTCGATGCACCGACGACCTGACCGACTTCCCCCGGGTGACGTTTCCAGCCAACCGCGCCGACGGACAACGCCCGCGCAGGAAAGTAAGCGCCACCGCCGTTACATTGTGGCTTACTTGTGCTGGTGATCAAAATGGTGCGGGTCGTTGACTGTAGCAACACAGTCGTGGGAAGAACGTTTCGTGTCTTTGGATACAAAAGGACATGTGGCATAGGATTGCGTGCCTTGTAACTGATGCATAACTGATGATCACCATGTTGGTTCCTACTCACGTTGTTGTAGATTTATCTTCAAGGGCTATGGAGATGCATTTTGAATCAAAATTTTGGACTTCTGTAAGGAACTCAAGTCGTACGTTTGTGGCGTGGTGAAAATTTTCGCGTGAATTTAACAGTCAAATTTGAATATCACTGTCAAAACCCATGGCACTGCGCTTTCAGAAATACGCCCAAATTGAAAATCTGCATGAAAATTGGTGAACATCTACAGGTTGCCATGCCAAGACATCTTACAATCTAAATAATCAAATTCCATCAACTGACCTTTTCCTATTACCTGCTTTACCACACCGCATGTGCGTTTCATTGAATAGTAAACAATAGAGAATCCTACAAGATTGGACTCACTCTACGGCGACTGGATCATGCAAAGGGTATTTGCGACTCTGATTTGCTTCTCAGGTGCACAATGTGGTCCAAAAGATATTCAACCGCCCGGGGAGGTGGAAACCCGGCCCAGAGCCCGGCCACGAGGTAGTTCTGTTGAAGCTTGAGACCGACTATGACGCCCCATTGCCCATTCTGGCCCAGAGTCTGCACGGCCTGGACTACTGCCGTCCGGGAAGCAGCCCTGTGGTGTATTTGCTGAGGCCTGGAATCGAACTGGCGGCTGCGCCGTTCGATTCCGTAGATCCACAAGTCTGCAAGGAGCATTGGGAGTCGGGGAACGGAAAATTGTGCCTGACGTCCCCATGGTCAGACGTCACTCATGGTGCGCTCAACTAAGGAGAGTAGTAGCCACTAAAGGACGATTTCATGTGGTGTGTCGTTTGAATATGTGCGTTTCGCCCTCCTTAGTTGGTGTGAAATTGGGCAACAGGATACATCAACAAACATGGAATTTGTGCGGCACAAAATTGTTTTCAGTTTGTGCTGGGCTTATCGTAAGCTAATGCTTCATTACGATTTCGATTTAGTAGTTCAGTTAGTTATTGTATGTAATGTATATCAGACAGTGATATATTGTATGCAGAAGTAATATATACGAACTGCAACGTAGCAACGATCCATCAAGGAAATTGGATACTATGGTAGTGCAAGATGCTGACAGTCCCAGTCAAAGTTGAAGTTTCGAAAACAGAAGGATGAGCATTTTAAGGTGCATTTCAGTGTAGAAATTCAAAATGGAGTCGTAATACATTGAATGATATACGCATGGTGTATGCATGTATTGGGATAACCCGACCTTCAGAAATACTTCATACAATGTATGGCTTTGAGCTATCTTCAGGTCATTCACATATATGTTCAGGTGCGCATGAAAAGGTGTGAGGATAATCTAGATCCCTTCCCGCCAACAGTTGAACTTACTATTGAAATTTGACACAGGCTCACAGACGATCTGTCTGCATTGACCACTGCGTTTTATGACATCGATGTGAGCGGGCAAAACTGACGTTTGAGCGCATCATCGCCATTTGGAAAATGCTGAAATGAGAAGTGGGTGTGTTGGTCGACAGCTATGTATGGCGGCGCCGCCATCCTACCCCCCGAGCCTTGTGGAACGGCGCTCCAAGGGAGTGCAAACATTTCGTCGCTGGAGTGCCAGAAACCCACCGACGATCTGGTCGTCGCCATGGTTGACCGTCACATAAACTCGACAGCGGGGGGGCCCTCGGGCACGCTAGTTATTCCAATCGTTCATTTGATTGGGTGGATTAGCAGCGTCCTTCCGATGACGGAGTAGGTGCGACTGCTTCACACATGAATCTGTGTACTTTGACGCAATTGGGAAAAAAAACCATCAGATTGCCAAATGAACAAAAATGCACGTACTTTTCTCCTCACCGAGTAGTGGAAGCTCAGATTCATTTGGCAAACGGCACGAGTACGTATTTCAATCGGAACTTTTGGTTAAAGCCACTGCGCAAATTTTAGACGATGCTGGCTGTGCTGCTTGCAACTTACCAATCTAATAGGTAACATACTTTCAAATTGTTTGCTTTGCTTATGCATAGCGCGGACGCTAATGGAAATTTCATGGAGTCGTTCGGTCATGCCAGAAAGATATGCGCTAATTTGTGCGGCACAAATATAATCATTTTTACATCATGGATGCTGACGAGAATTTCGTCACGGCGTTCGTTCATGCCAGCAATTTATGCGCCAATTTGATCTACACACAAGACAAGCCGCAAGGCAGATGTGCTGACGTACATAGCATTGCAGTACACAGAGGATCACACCAAAGCACTGTTAAATGGAGGATAGAAATTGCTCATTTGCTCAGGTACCAAGAAAGAGTGGAGGTGCCAGCCGCATAACAACACATGTATAAATTTCCTCCAAGTTTGTGTCAGGTGGATGATACATTACGCGTGAAGAGTGATATTCCATTTGTGCTTCGTCACTGGGCAGGGGTTAGCCGAAGGGAGAACTTTTTATTCATCTTGGGAAAAGGTGGCGAGACCGATTGCAAGCCCTCTGCGCTTGGGTGGCGCGACGTGAATGGAAGCTTCCCGTCAAATAAGTTCTCTCCAAGATGGGTCCCAGAGGATAGTTCATGTCTTTGGAAGCCACCACAAATTGTACAAGCTGTTTCAGTACACGGTGTTTTCTTCTCTTTTGGTGGCGGTGTGTGACTCCGTGTGGTGAGCTTTGTATGGGAAGTAGCTCTCCGAAATATCACACACGATGTCATTCTGAGGTATTTGGTATATTATTTAGGATGCATGCGAATATTTCTTGGCAATTTGGCATTGCGGTTAGATTATGATTAATATGGGCTTTCTTTGGTACCGCCTTAAAACGCAGTATGATGCTCTGTTCAGCGAGCCTCGTCGTATTTGATTTGCACTGTGCTGTACTTGCCTACGCCACAATTGGTACTGAACCAATGTAAGTTTAACAATCTCAGAATAGGTAATCCCGCCTGCAACATGGCATCACAGGCCCCTCTCCTCATATGTGTCGGTAGCTCTGGCGATTTGTTCATAATTGCTTGCATCCAAAGATGGCCGTCGCCTGCGTTGCATTCCACTCGCCTGAAAACGAGCACTACTTCCTCCGTCCCAAATTGGATTGCCGTTATGAACCGTGGGCCCAGAAAGCCTATCAAATTATCTCAGATTACTCTAAATTTTGCCACAATATTTTGATTTAAATTTGCTTTACGCCCCCAAAATTTTGATTCAATTGTTTAGGTATTCATTCTGCAATGTTATTTTGGACGCACGCCACTCAGCCAAGTGTCTCAACGTGGCTCTGAAACAACCCATTTTTGGGGCCTTGGTGGAACTTTGGTGGACCTTGCGACATTGCAATGCCTCTCCCCGCGCGAAGTGACACGACTCAGAGACTCGCTTCAGATCGCCATGCGCGGGGCAAGTCCGTTCACGCGGAATCGGTGATGGCATTCCGGAACGGCGTTGGCCTCAATTGCTTGGCGCGACTTCTCGAACCCATGGGCATTATTTTCGATAATGCGTTTCCGGAGGCGCCGGCGGCCTGCCCTCCGCCTTTATATCTCCTCTCCGACCTCCAGTCCAAAGCGCGTCTCCAACTCCTATTGCTTCGCGCGGTGGGGGACGTCACAATGTGACATGTTCCAGGGCCTGAAGACGGGCGGTTTTGGCGCCACCTTGAAAAACCGTTTCTGGGAACGTGGTGTCTGTTTAGAATGCCACTGCGGATTGGCTACCCAGACAGTTAGCTCAAAAATTTGAGAGCACAAACTAGACCTAAATTTAAGCATTGCGACAAGGTTTTGTGGGACTGCGAGTTGTTTTAGTGCGTTTTATAGGGCCACATATCATAACTTATATTCTAATTTGGGACGGAGGAAGTAGGTAGCATGAATAAATAGGGGCGGAGATGACTGGATATGTAGATGGCTGCGAGTACATTTTTATTTGTTAAGAATCTGGGTAGAAAAGCAAAAGTCGGAGCTTTGGGGATGCTGGGAAGGAGGCTTGGGAAATATGGATGCCGTTGAAAAATGGGGAAAATACGCATATTGTTCCGCATTCCTATTTTGGTTTTAAAACGTCTAAAATACAACAGATTTCATAACAGCAACCTCAGCAGCTCGTAGACTCGAACAGCCAGTATTTTTGCAACTAATTGTGTTTGCCCAGTCCATGGCATTGCCATTCATCGCCTCTAGAGTAGCGGCTCCGTCTTAATCTCTCACGATCGATCCACAAGACAGCATACGGGTGGAAATTGCCCTCATCTTGGACACAGTTGAGCTAGAGTGCAGAGTGGATCACTGGGGCCTCAGAGACATATAATTACATGAATTTTCGAATTCAATCACAGCGATTGATTTACATATACTGATAAAATCCACGTCCGACCATGTCTGTATCCGTGTCCGACCATTCTTTGCGCAACTCATGCAAGCCTGCTATCCTCTCTTTCACAACGACCGGCGCGTTCCTACGCAACACAGCAGACCCAGATCCGGTGATTCCGGTCAGATGTCAGCACCTGCATTCATCGTCGCCTGTCATGGCAATCCCGAAGTACAGATACGTACGCAACTGGGCTGCGACATCCGTGAAGTGTTTTGCAGCCACTTTCGTGACCTTCAGCGTCGCCGCTGCTCGTCGTTCCCTTCTAAGCGTGCCTAGCTTCCCAGGCGTCGTGATGGGCAGGTCGCAGGTCCACGAGGTGCAGGCCACAATCGGTTTACCAGATAATGGAGCATTTTGTTTTAAAGCTCTTAAACACTTCTCGAAATATCCATATTGCACAATTTTGCCAAATACATTTATAATTGCCTATTTCCAATAAGATCCAGGCGTATTTCCCAAGCGTACTCAGAATTCGACCCGATGTCACTAATTAACGTTATAATCTTG